AGGACGGCAAAGGCCGGCCGGGGGCCGCAGGGGAGCTGCTCATTGTGCCCGCGCTTCCTCTTGGGGCGGAATAGTTTCTCCCAACCCCGGTTCCTGGCTAAGGCCTGTCAGAACCTCTCATCCCCCTTTACGTTACTCCAGGGGCTTGTGGGCTTGTAGCGAGCCTCTCTGCCCCCTCATCTTGCTCGTGCTGGTATCTCCAATACTGTAGCCGCCCAGGCGCTTGTGGGGCGTCAGATCTCTTCCAGGAGAGGACAAGAGGGGTTATTCACGCAAGGGTTCGTGAAGGAGAGGACCTTTTCCAAAACGGCCTGATACTTGACTGCCTTTCCTAGCGCTTTAGTGTTCGCCTTTCATGGGCGTCTGGCAGATAAGAGTTTCGGCTGAAACGAGACGGAACCCTGGAAGCTAATGGGAGTGATATTGACACACATTGAGCCTGCCGTATCTAAAGGTCGAGTGTGAAGTTTGGCCAAAGCAACGACCATCTGATTAAAAATGCGTCCTATTTGACATTATTGCCACTTGTGATTGGTCACTTTCATTGGCAGGCACAGTTCCTCTTTTTTTTAAAAAGAAGGCGTCAGTTGTTAGGGTGGATTTGCATGTGTGCGCTTGAGTTTTACAGAGGCAAAATTGTAACAGAATGAGGGGAACTGACCGGCTTGAATCTGTATGAAGATTGGAGGTTTCTTAAAGATGTTGTGCTGTACTCTGATTTTACATGTGACAGATGTAAAGCTGTGGAGCTGTCTTATGACTCCTTTGAGAAATGTCGTAGTAAAAATGGCCTTCAATCCACAGCCTGCCTAACCAAAAACCTAAACTACTATAAAAAAAAAAATCCAAGTCAAATACGTTGGTGAAATACTCTCTCCTCCCTTTGAAAACAATCTGTATATCAAATTGACATACTTTAAATAAATTGAGTGCCCCAAAAAGGTGACTGCACAGATCTGATTTAAAAAACTGAGCATAAGGTATTGATCTGAACATACTTACTAAATGTGTTATGCCAAGGCAGATTTACCCTACCCCCGTTAAAATCTTGCTAAGTATAAACATCTAAAATGTCCTTCCTTAATTGGTAGTGAGTGACATGATCCAACTAGTCTTAAATAAACTTCAAGTCCAGACTACTGAATCAAATTTAAAATGGTTTTGCATGCTGGGAGATATTCCAACCTCAACACGCCCTTCTTGTAGATAACTGACTTGGAAAAGCGATGACCAACTGTAAGGCCGCTCCTTAGAGTAAACTTCATTCAAATGTTAGCTAGTATTGTAGAATGCCTAAAATGTTGCATCAAGGATGTTTATGCTGTGGAGGACATTTCACTGTTGTGTAAAAATATGACCAATATGAATGTATTAGTATTGAAATTTAATAATTTTCCTCAAAAGTTTTCTGAAAAGGAAGCTTTTTAACGCCTACTATTAAGTATTTATGTTTGATTTTTTTGCTTTTAATTTTCTTTTAATATAAACTTTCCTCAGCTGATCTATTTTCAGATAATAGTTGTCTACAAATTACGGTGCTCTGTTACTTGCAGGGAACTGGTGAGGGTATTGTAAGGGCTGATTATGTAAAGCAGTGTAATTTGAGCCTTAATTGGCCAAAGCATGCTATTAATTCAGTGTTCGCTGATCGCTTTACAGTAACAAATTTTGTCCCGGTCTCACTGCATTTAAGCTCAAATAAATCTTGCTGTAAGATCCGGTGGAATGCTTTCAAACTGGGCAGTTCTGAAATAATCTTTCTTTTGATTAATCTTAACCAAACTGAATCTCAACCAAACTATTAATACAGAATGCACTGAGGAGTTAGTGACATTAATACGTTTTTAGGATCACAATGAACATACTATTTGTGACTTTCAGTTAATAACTGATTGTATAATTCACCTTTCTTGCACAAAAGGCTTTATGTTTGGTACTACAGAATGTTAGAAATAGCATAACCTGTATTTTGTACTTCGAAGTACTTACCATATTCTGCTCTATGAATATTTTCCTAGCATGGAGGATGACCAAAGAGAAATAAGTGATGCAGGGAAAAATCTGCAAATGTGAAGTTTGATGTTAACTGTTCCTTCAGTGTCATGGATAAATTTACTCCTTTTGCTGCATTCTCCTAGTAAAGCAGGGCAGTTGGAACAAATTCTTGTAATTCCATATGCGTCTGAGTATCTTCTCTAACACTGCTAAACATTTACTTTAAAACATACTTCTTTTAAAAGCAAGATTGTCCATCAACATTTAAAGTGGGAAGGCCTTTTCTGATTTTTTTAGAAGGTGCTTTTGTAATGCAAACTGTGATCCTTTAACCATGATTTAATAGTTCTCAGATTCTTAGATGCAATGAAATAGGTATGTCCTACTCTGAAACTTTGGCTGTCATCAGAACATTGGAGAACATACTTGTAGCAAATACCCTGCTGATGAACTTTGAAAAGTAAGTCTGAAGTTCTGGTGACTGGCTTACTCATCATGTGTAATAGCAGAGTTTGAATTATGGCAGTTGCATGGAAAACTTGAGATGCAGAAAGCCAATAGGAGCTGGAGTTCAACAACAGAGGCGTGCATTCTTGGGAAGTGACATCCTATTTGTAACAACTGAAACTCCATTCTACTGAACTAACAAAACAGAAAGGAATGCGACTGCCTTTGAATAGAACTGTAGGAATACTGTTGTGAAAGATGTACGCAACTTTGCGCAAGAAGAACACTTAATTTATATAGCCATCCAGATTTTATTTATGTGGGTGTTACCTGCACTTTGTAGCTCTGCCTTTTGGAGGTTGAAATAAGGAAACTTGTAGACACAATGAGCATAGAACTTGCATTGAAGGCACTCCTGGCATTTCATGTGTCCCCCCTTTTTTTTTTCTCCCCCCCCC